TTTAGACGTAGGCTTTCACGGCGCATTAGACATTGTACCCAATTCCGTCAAGAGTTGCCAGAGAGGCTGGGGCAGCCGACTGATGCATGGGAGCGAGGGAAGAGAGGATGAGACCGAAACGGCACATCAGCGCATTCCTCACTGAAACGTAGATGACACGCTGAAATCAGTTATGGCGCATTAAAAGCCGCGGTTTCGATGGTTGCGAACTGACGGGATAACCCCGCTCCTTCCCAGAATTGGAGGGTCATGTCTCAGTGAATCCTTCTTAACGTTGCCTTTATGGCACTCCCGTCCTTTTTTAGACCAGAGCAGCCTGCACCATAGCCCGGTGCATGTAAGGGGAACGGGTTCGGATGTGGCACGCGTAGACGGACCGTCTGTCTTTGTTAGCCACTGCGTCCGCAGCCACCTCCGGTCCCCCTGACACTGTCTGGTCATTGGAGTGAGGTAGGCGGGGAAGGAGAGAGTGCGGCAGACGCTGCGCACAAGCCATCGATGCTGCACCCAAGCAAGCAGTCGAACTACCACCAAATTGTGCCTGAGAGACAAAGAAAAGGCATGAAAAGAAGTGGATCCGATCGCTGAGACAAGAGCTTCATTCGCCTGACGTTTCGGATTCCTGCTCGAACCCATCATCAGTGTGACGATTGCTCGACCATCTGGACCACCGACTCTGGCGTTGGGGACCAGTATTCACCTGTGCGCTCCCCGTGTGGCTAATTACTCCGCCAAGGCGAAGTCTTAGCACTGAGTATGGGAGGGGAAGGTCGTTGCACTTGTTAATGAACTTCGGGCCAGTAAACAATGACTCAGGCAGCTGCTGGCTCACACGATTATCACCCTTCGCGAGAATTTCGGCCTTGTCGAATTCGAATGTGTGGTATGATCTAGTTGAGTGAGACACAACTTGACAGCTGGCGTAATTTCTCTGCACTGTTGCAGCTTGTTCGACCATTCGCGTTAGGAGCAGCCTTCCGATTTCTCTGATGTAGATGATTTGTCCAAAACTGCATGAGATCCGGTAAACGACTCCAGACGTTTCTTGCCGTGGCAGTGGGTCTTTTGGTTTAATTACCTGACACCTGATGGTTGCCTCCGGTCCGTGTGCAACTCCAACCCCAAATGCTGCAAGAAGGTGGCCGACAGCTTCTGAAACGTTCTTGACATACAGAAGCACCCGTTAAAATTTTGGATCCATGCGGTTAGGCCTTTCGTCCCTTTTGCATAGGCAACGGTTGACAAAGTTGCGCAGGTAGCCATTGACTTTGAAGACCCGTCGAAGGTATTGACGTCTGACAATCTTGTCTTCCGCCTCCCTGCAGTGCTGGGACATGTTTTGGAACATGAGAGCATGCAATGAGGGCAGGCGTGTCATGCGATAAGTAAACACAACAGTTCGCCTTACGAGATTCGAATACCACTCTTTGTCAGATTATGCTTGAAGCACAGGCCTCGTCGAATTTCAATGTGTGGCCGGATCCGGCTATCGTGTCTCCTTCTTTACAGCTTCATTCGTCTGACGCCTCAGATTCTCGCTGGAACCCAACGTCAGAGACAGTAGAAGGGAAGAGACGAGTCCCAGGAAGTAGTCTTGAAGATGGAGACAGTACCAGATACGGGAAGCTGCAGTATTTATAGGACGCAGTCCATATGCTAGTGTATACCTGTGACAATTAGCGGCTTCTCCCTGCCTTCAGGTGCTCTAATTTCGCGATGGCCGGTTTGTAAGTCCTTAACTGCTGTAATTTCATAACTCACTTTAGATGTTTGTGTGATGATGGCTCGGCCACCTGGCTCATCGGCTCATTGACTGGCCAAATTAAGCCTAAGCACCCAGCATGGGGACCAGAAGGTCAGTGCACTTGTTAACAGGCTGTGCATCCATGACACATGACTCAAGAAACTCGCGGCTCACGCGATTATCACCTCTCGCGAGAATTTCGGCCTCATCGAAGTTGAATGTGTGGCCGGGTCTCGTCGAATGGGCCGCAACTTGAGAGCTGGCGTCATTTCTCCGCACTGCTGCCAAGTGTTCAGCGATTCGCCTGTATCGGCAAAGAAAGAGTATGTTGGCAGGAGCAAAGTCAGAGGTTTTTGCCCATGTGAGCGCGTTTAGAGCGGCTGTGCCTTTCTGGACGTGCGCGTATGTGTGTCCAGCTTGCAGTCGGTCAGAGCGGTCCGCCGGACAGTGTAATAAAGGCGTTCGAAACGAAGGTAGATTAGGTTAGCGTGGAGGGGAGTGTGCCGAATGAAGATGGTGGACAGTTATCGACTGCAGAACTCTCTATATCAACCAAAATGCGTCGACGTCCAAACCTGCAGTTTCCGTACAATGGATGAAGCACCCATATTAGGAAAGTAGCGCCAAAAATATCGGGTTCGCCTTAGCCATTACAATCATCGGACCGAGTGCTCGTTAGCAAGAGAAGAAGGTAGACGCTAAAATGAGGACTTTATTCTTTACAGAACACCGAGTTGATTTCACAGGCAACAGTGGCCGCCGATGAGTCCAGGGGGGGGGGACGCTGACAGGGTTGAAAAACGACCAGTAGAGAGGGTGTTTAGTTGCTGGATCACGTATCTATGGCACGTGAGAATTTGGCGTCTGCTATTGTTTGGACGCGTGTTGGCAGTTAAGCCGGGCTGAAAGGTCAGCTGACATTCGGTGGCGTTGGTGGAAAACCTTTTAGCCGCCAATTATCATAACGACTACCGGCGTCTTTGTTCAACGTCCCACCGCGTCAAGTTTATTCACCGTCCTTGTGACCGGCTAAGACACACTGGTCAGATGTGACATGCGCACTCACGTGCAATCAGATAATCACAGCCGTCCATGCCTCACGTGAGCGCGCCCCCCCTCCGGCAGGCCGGCCGATGTAATACACAGCATTAGGTACGAGCGGTCCCCACGTAGCTGCGAGAAACTATAAAAGCGACTGTTGCCACTGCCCTGTCCTCTCTCTCTCTCTCTCTCTCATGCATGACCGAGCGACGTCAGCACGTGTCCCACCGATGGCTTCTACCGTCAGAAACAGTGCATCCGGGTTTGGGAGGCAAGAATTCCCTCATTATAGTGCGCTCCGTCTTATCTTTCTGGCAGCGACTCGGCGACGGCACTCGGTTGAGAATTGGTGACCCCGGCGCGCAATCGGACGTCCGTTGTCCCCTTTGGCTGGTGTTGCCTGAGACAGCGGCCACTACAGGCGGAGTGTATTGTGGCGCTCTATGCACATCCCCCCAATGGAACAGGACGCCGAACAGTTGGGCGGTCGGTTACAGAATCACCGAAGCTCGTAGCGACATCCACTGTTCCGATCTACCAAGCTGTGCATTGTTTGCCTCCTACTAAAACTCAGCTTCCGCGCCTATCCCAGTCGCTCGACAACCGTTCCAACTCTAACCGCCCGCTATGATGGTTTCCCGCCTAACAACTGCAATAGCCCACTCGACAGTCGCGATCACATCATTCCCAGAGGGCTTTGGGCTCTACAGGTCCGCCGTTTACCCAGATACCTGGAAAGCAATTAAGATGTGTTTCTTCAGCCGTCAAGCCTCAGTAATGACAGTCCCTGTGGCCTTCGTACCCTCCCTAAAATGGAGATGTTGCCTCCGCAAGCTGGAACCCAACCTGAGGAAACTCGTCTGAGATGCGCCGGCGCACGCAACAGGTCACGCTATCAGGTAGGTGTCTTAAATTCTTGGTGAGGCAAGTGAGTAAGTGTACGACTGTCTAATACGCGATGATAATGATCTACCGAAGGATGCCAGTGCAATGGCCGCGGTGATCGATGCAAGGAGAAGAATTCAGTTTGAAGCGGGTATTCATGTGCAGAGGTGCCAGAATACCTTTTTTACTTCTAACAAACTGGCAGTTTTCCCTGTCTACCCTAGTTGTTTTAACAAAAGTGAAAATTTTTGAAGAAGACACGATCGCTGGGACAAGAGCTTTATTAGCCTGACATTTCGGATTCCCGCCCGAATCCATCATCAGAGACAAAAGCAGATACGGGTGGTTCATGCACAAGGGGCTGCAGTATTTATAGGATGCAGTCGCCATGCTACTGCATACCTATCAAAATTTACGGCTCCCCGCCCCCCCCCCCCCTTCACCAGGAGTCGTTGCACTTGGTTTGATGATTGTTTGATGACCGACATTCGCGTCGTTAATTGCTGCAATTTCATTACGTGCGTTGGATGTTGGTGTAATGATTGCTCGACCATCTGACGCACCGACCCTGGTGTTGGGAAAAGTGTTCACCTGGCCGCTTCCCGCATGGCTAATTACTCCGCCTAGGCGAAGTCTCAGCACCGAGTCATTGCACTTGTTAATGAACTGGGGACCAGTAAACCATGACTCAAGCAGCTCCCGGTTCACGTGGTTGTCACCTCTAGCGAGAATTTCGGCCTCGTCAAATTTGAATGTGTGGCCGAATCTAGTCGAATGAGTCGCAGCTTGAGAGCTGGCGTCATTCCTCCGTACCGCTTCAGCGTGTTCGGCCATTCGCGTTCGCGGCCGTCTTCCGGTTTCTCTGACGTAGTTGCTTTGCCCACAACTGCACCATATCCGATAAACGACTCCAGACGTTTCTTGCCGTGGCAGCGGGTCTTTTGGTTTCATTACCTGACGCCTGATAATTGCGTCCGGTCTGTGTGCAACTCCAACCCCAAGTCGTGCGAGTAGGCGGCCGACAACTTCCGAAACGTTCTTGACATACGGAAGCGCTCACCAAACTGGAAATTCGCTGAAAGGACATACGCATTTCCCCCGTGCGCTGTTGGTCAACCATGGCATGGGGACGTTTAGCATTTGAATAGTATTTTCGCCTGGCAGTGTCGAACTTGGACGACTTGTGATGTATAAGCCGTTCTTCTAACACGCCATAAAATTAGTCGTGAATCAGTGCGTTCCCAATTGTGATGACCCCGGCGTGACCCGAATGCACAACAACCCCCCGGGATGTCCAGTGTGTTTTTTTCAGAGCGGTTCCATTTGCTGGTCAGTTGAGGACCAGCTGGTTTTCTTCTTCTTCTTCTTCTTCTTCTTCTTCTTCTTCTTCTTCTTCTTCTTCTTCTTCTTCTTCTTCTTCTTCTTCTTCTTCTTCTCCCCCCTCCTCCTCCTCCTCCTCCTCCTCCTCCTCTTCCTCCTAATCCCCTCAATTTTAGATGGAGGAAGGAAACAACCAGCTGGCCTTCATGGATGTACTCGTATGCCGCAAAGATTGTGGTGGCCTAAAAATGTAAGTGTTCATGGAAACGACAAATACGACGCAAGTGCTGAACTTCGACGAAATATTTGATATTCAGTACCTGGAACTTAGCCTAGACGGAGTAATCAACCATGCGGTAAGCAAATAGGCGAACACTATTCCCACCGCCAGGATTTGTGGGCCAGATGAAATTGCAACGATCAACAACTCGAATGTGGACTATCGGAGAATCATCACATCAAATGCAGCAGTCCCTGATGAATGAGGGAGCCACGCATTTTGTTAGGTATGCGGTAGCATGGCTACTGTATCCCCTTGTGTATGAAATACCTGTATCTGTTTCTGTCTCTGATGGTGCGTTCGAGCAGAAATCCGAAACATCAGGCGAATAACGCTCTTGTTCCAGCGATCGTGTCCCCTTCTCCATTCGAATGTTTGTCGCTGGTCCATAAAGCGCCTGATCGGGCGCTCACCAAATGAGTAGCAACTAAGGGACACAATGAGCCGCGTTTGCTGTCGACCACATTAGTCGCGTCTCCAGAGTCAATAGGGGTTCCACGAAGGCAGTGGGATCACAGAGGAATGAATGGACGACAGGCGCTTAAGTTGGTGGCGCTCGAAACAGTAGCGGCCGGTACCGCCGCGCAGAGCCGTTTCCAGACGCCCTGGAGATGGGGCGACATTAGAGTTGGAGATGCCGCCTCGCAGCCGCTCCGAGCTGCGCCGCGTGAGAACTGTTCACGCTAGAGACAGTGGGATGAAAACCCCACAAACGGCTCCCGTTCGCGCAGTTCGCGCGCTTTCTACTCGCTCACCCCTGCTGACACGCGCATTTTCAGCTGTTCTGGCCAGTCCTTGCGTTGGCCGTCAAAGCGACCAATCAGATTGACCTCGTGTCCCACTGACTAGCTGCCTATTGACCTGGGTGGCAATCGGTAGCTGGATTTTCGACTGCAGTTGCCATTCTCTAACTCTGTCCCAAATATTCTCGACATTTATATATATCCACCGTCTAAGCCGAATGTCCTGAAACTGTGTGATAGGTTTCGCTGTTGTGTTGGAGAGATGAAAAAAGTCACAGAGTTAAAAAAGCAAATAAGATATGGTTATGTAGCCGCACCTAGTGGACACAATACTGTTGGGGATAGGGTTGGGGCAGCTACTTCTCAACCACTCAAAGTACAATGGCGCATTCCCAATAGCTTTTCTTTTACATACGATTACTTGACCTCGTCGCCTGTGCATTCTCCGAGCCCAGCTGTAAAAACCCCTATTACCACCGGTCCCATATTACAGGTGGCTGGGGTTTGTTTCCTTAAGGTGAGTCTACATAACCATATCTGACCAAAAACATTCAAAAAGGTTTGCAGTTTACTTATTTTACTTCGTTATATGAGTTATATTATCGGAAATATGTACGACCCCTCCCGGGATAAATGCATTGTGAGATATTACAGTACGCTGTGTTTTATTTGTCTGCAACAGCACAATTGAAAATTCAGTTGCGTGTCATGAATATTTGTTTTTCCTAATGAACAGTAAGAACGGCAAGCAAGGATGAAAATGGTGCATGTCTACTTTGTTAGCTGTAAGTGGGCGAACTTATGCATGAGCCCAATGCAAGAATGATCTACAGAATTCCCAGCGCTTACCATAACTGTCGACAGGAACATGTGACGGAACTGATGATTCCCCTGTGAATTTCTTCTTTCCTGGATCGGCCAGCGCTATGGAGAGGAGGAAGCGGCCCACGGTTTCAGAGGTTGCGTTTTTAAACCGGAAGCCCAGCGTATATCATTGGTCCCCTTTCGGATACGTGACCGGAAGGGATATCTACGCTCATCTGTGAGAATGCTATCCATTCTAGGCAGAATAACATAACGACAAAGACAAGGTAGGCTGTAATAGACACTTCTGACCTATTGGCCGTCGTCAGATAGGTCGTCAACAGGTCACGAGATCGAGCCCCAGAGGTTGCGCACCTCGGGGTTGGGCATAACTGGCTGACGACGGATAATAAGCTAGAAATGACCATTCCAGTCTCCGTTGTCTTTGCTGATAATGCTATTCTGCCTATAGTACGTGCCACTGTGCGGCTGCTGGCTGGACTCGATAGAAAGAGAGCGTGGGTACCGAGGCACAATGGGACGAGTGAGTTCCGTAACTCCATCCGTGAGAGTCCCTCTACCATTTTTATCCATTTTTCCGCATGTATCTGCGATGTTATGTTGTGAACAGAAATTTACTCAATTCCAACAAGTATCGGCGCACAGAAGCGCAAAATGCTCCTTTGTGTTACTGTCCAGTTTAAACAACATCTAACATACAGTGAGTGACCGATCTCACGAAATGTTGGCTAAAATTCTGAAATGCGTTTTCGACTAGGAAGGATTACTTAGGGGCGGTTGTAATATTGATTATCTTGCGGCATAATCCTATAATACTTTGGATTTATCGGGATGTCAGTTTTCAAATGCACTTCTTCTAGTCCTCCTGTAGAAACCGCAGCTGGTAAAAAATGACCACTTAAGTAGCATGCATTTTTCTCATTGCTTTTCGATGGTCTTGAAAATTCAAATATATTTTATAAAAACCACAAACAAGAATATGCTTTCGTCAGTCGATTGATAGAGATTCGTGTCATCTTTATATTTCATACTCGAGGAAGGAGTATAATTAGGATTTAAAAAGCTTTTAATTATGAGATTTTTAAAACTGCGCATTGTCCATTCATATAGCGTCGTACCTGTCCGTTTACTACTGCTTCTCATGAAATGTACAACATAGTCTGCATCTATTGCGAAATTTTGTGGACTCTATATGATATCTTTTTAAAGGCATAGAAGAATATGGGATTTTCTTCGCACGGAGCCCGTGAACCTTGTAGACCGAAGTCACTAGGCGCTAATGCAACGACCGATCTGGCTCCAAATTATTCGGAAATTAGAAAACTTATTAAAACCTAATTGTATTCATTCTTCGAGTACAAAATACAAAGATGACGTGATTCTCTGTCAAACGACTGAAAGAAAGCATATTCTTGTTTGTGGTTTCCATAAACTACATTTGAATTTTCAAGACCATCGAAAACCAATGAGAAAAATGCATGCTACTTAGGTAGTCATTTATTTGCCGAGCACGGTTTCTAAAGGAATTTGAAAAGCAGTGTATTCAAAAGCTGACATCCTGCCAAGTCCGAAATATTATAGGATTATGCCGCAAGATAGTCAATATTACAACCGCCCCTAAGTAATCCTTCCTAATCGAAAACGCATACAGAATATCAGCCAACGTTTCAAGAGATCGGCCACTCACTGTAGATGGAACAAATTCACCAACTCTTTCCCTGAATTAGCATATTTTATGAGTGAATCATGCCTTTATAGTTTCCAACTTTCCGTTTATTTCATGATCTCATTATAAAGCAATTGTTTTCTAGGTTAGGGTTAAAGAAAACACTGTATGAGGGTGATTTTCACAAAATCTTCAGCGTGACGAGGGAAAATTTGCATTCGCCAGTGAGACTGGATGAAAAAAAAGATCAGAAGTCGCTGGCGCAATTTCCGCGCCGATAAAATCTGCAGTGCGCGCCCGCTGCTTGATCGCGCGGCCTGGCGCCACTCGGCCTCAAGTCAGCTGAGGCCGACACGCGCCCCGATTGGCTGTTGCGCGTGCCACCGTCTGTCACGTGACCAGACGTTGTGTGAACGTGCGCGGGCAACTTCTGGCGTCTGCCGCGGCTCTGACCGCACGCTAACGCGCCTCATTTCGGATCATCCAGCGTACACACTTTTCGGACCGATATTTTGCGCGAACGTTGTTCATTTGAAGAAGAAGAAGAAGAGGATGGGCTCACCGGAATAGGTTTATTTAGATACTGACGTTTCGAAGAGCTTCGTCGGCTCTCCATTGTCAAAGCGTAAAATGCACTTAGTCGGCCAGAAATCCCCAGTGGCGTGTCACGTTGGTCGGCCTCGTGCTGATCGATTTTTCTCTCCTCTTGCTGTCTCGGTCTTTCAGGGGGTGGTTGACGGGCGTTTTTGTCTGCGTGCTTTGTGAGGCACCACTTCGCCGGGGGAAGGTGATTGAACCAGTGTTGGGTGGTCGGTCTGGCGGTTCTTGTTCTTCACCGAGAAAACTCGTCGTCGGGCTGTCTCCGTATGGCCTTCTGAAGTCCGTGTGGTTGTTTGGCCCTGAGCTCTACGATTGTGATGACGTAGGACTTTGTAAGCTGCAGGAAGGTTCAGATGCCTGTTGATGGAGTGGGCATCGGAGAACCACGCCTCGAGAGTTAGCGCTCTGCTTTTGTGTTGCCCTGGCCTAAGATGGTAGCTCGTTGGAGATCGAAAGTATGCCCAGTTTCTCCAGCGTGTGTTGCTAATTGAGAGTTTGGGTTTAACCTCAGAGTAGCCGATTTGCGAGTCTGCAATTTCCGCCCGGTTTCTCCCACACAATTGCAGTCGTTGTTCACTTGATAACAAAGCCGTTTTGGGTGTGTGGGGGAAGGGGGAGGTGGCGGTATCTCTGAGTACGCTGCCAGCGTGTGGAGGCGGAAGCGATCAGTCCAGGGAATCCCGAAAATTTTCCCTGATGTCTCTGGCCTTGTTAAGGGCCAGTAGGGAGGTCGAATTTTGCGCTAACCGCCCCTAGTCCCAAAAAACTTATCTCGGAATAGCGCATTTTCTTAAAAAAGGAAGGTTACTGAACAACATAACTGAAAATTTTGTCCGACCAAAACTGAACCATACGTGGAGGCAAATTGGGGGGTGTGTACATGCGCGTTCCGTAACTTTTATTCAGATGCTTAGTACAACAATAAATTAATTAAATAATTGACCACCGAGGTTTATTGTAGTCCTGGAAACTAGCTTATTCAATATGAAAAAAGCTGTGGAAATGTATAGCAGGACAAAGGCGCATTTTGGTCTTATTACGGCCTATTTTCTTCTCGGAGATTAAACCGATCAGGCTACGAGGCGTACTGATCCCCTAGCCTCTTAGGGATCAGTCTAGAGCCCTCGCAGGCAGTTGCACAACAATCCGTGCTCTTTATAACGTTCAATAACCTAATAATCTAAGTTTAAATTCCAGGTTTTGCAAACCTATGGCTTGGGTATAGCTGGCTGACAGCGGCCAAAAAACCAGTCCCCTTTTCCTTCATCGGCACTCTTACCACAGTGTGGGATCCGAGTCAGGCGTTGGCGGCACGCCTAGGTGCGGCTTCGGCCGTGCCAGCCTCCAAATCTCTGTTGTGTTGGTTGAAATCCTGGTTATTTGTTGTGTGGACCAGGGGGTGCGGAGTGGAGCGCCAAGGTGAGGATCCGTCCGAGCCATCCACCTGCGGCCTCCCTCGTCTCCGGTCTTCTTGACTCTGTCTTGACACCGGGCTCAGGCGGGGAAGGAGGAGAGAGTGTAGGTAGATGCTACGCAAGTCTACTGGCACTATAAACCCCTGCGTAAGTCACCGTCCCTGCTCCCACAATGCAGTCTGTGGGGCAAACGGTGGACATCATCGACATCGATGGTCGAACGGTCATCGGTACTTCCCTTTTGTGATTTCCTGAAGGACTGTAGACCGAACACCAAGGCACAACGGGACGGGCATGTCACATAACACGAACGGTGAACGCATTTCTAACAGTTCATATACCAGCTCGCGGCCAACAGGGTAACGGGTCCGTGGTTCAATGATAGGGTGTCACACTCAGTGACCAAATATCCCGTGTTAGATGTCCAGATAATTAACACATGGGGTTAGGAATGACTGGCAGGTGACGGTTAATAAGCCGGAAATGACAATGCGATCTACCTTCTGTTTGAAGGTACCACCTTAGCTACCTTTACCACTAGTCGCTATGCGACTGCCTGTTGCGGTTCGCTGTGTCTGGGGTAGGGGGTGGCGAAAATGTGTGATTATACATTATATAGACACGGCGAACCGCCAATGCAATCCTCAACACCTCTACGTTGGCTCACTGACCTCTGCCCGCATGCCAGATCGACGAACACTAAGTCCACTGTCCGTAGTTCCATTGAATCGTCATTCCCCCGACCCTCCAACACAGGGAGCCGTAACAGTTCCCCCTTCCCCGCCACATATCCTAGCCCAATTATGTGTCCAACCCCATTTCATACATAAGTTGCTGCCCTGGTACGCCAACCAATTTAGTTTGATTATTTCACTTTCTCCTCTGTTAATTTCGTCTAACGACGGATTGGTGCCACCAACTCGAAGATTCACGAGTGCAACTCGATTTTTCCCGAGCCATTCACTCTCGCTGCGGGTCGGGTATTTATTCAATCAGGAATGGGCGCACAACGATCCATTGGCTTCCCGAAGCAAAGACGCTTCGAATGGGGGTCACGAACAGGCAACCACCTACCCGGCCGAAGTCGACCAACAGAATGGCAGGTGGAGAGGCACTGATGAACTTCGGTTCGATGAAGTGCATATGGCCCATTTGGTAGACCCCAGTGGTGGACCAGCTGCGCCAGCTGCGCCAGGTGTGTCTGTGTGCATGCGTGTGCTTCCGGTCCCAGCTGGTGGTCAGGGTTATGATTGGCTGAATGAAGGCAAACCAGCCCGAAACAGTGCTGTATCAATCTACCCCTCAGACTCGGTCGTCTCCCCTCTGCTATCATAGCTTGGCCGACTTCGGCCTGATAAGTGGTTGCCTGTTCGTGACGCCTATCGTCCATAAGAAACTTGTTTGCTTCGGGAAGCCAATGGATCGCTGTGCGCCCATTCCTGGGTGAACAAGTACCCGATCTGCTGCGATAGAGAATGGCAGGTGGCGAGGCACTGATGAACTTCGGTCCGATGAAGTGCTTATGACCCATCTGGTAGATCCCATCTGTGGACCATCTGCGCCAACTGTAAGAACGCATGTTTGTACTTCTGGTTCCAGCCGCGAAAGTCACAAAATAGGTGTACTTATTGTAACTGGACTGCGCGCTTATTCCACAGAAGTTGCTCGTCTTTGTCAAAAATGTTCATATCAGTTTCGCAAGTGATTCTAACAAAACTATGTCTGTTCCCCCCTTCTTCCAGAGGCTTCCCATCCATGTGTATTGTGATTCCTGTAAAGAAGTCGACCATCGTCTTCTGTGACCTTAGGGAGATAAAAAGCAGTAGCATATGTAGATTACGCGGCACACGATGACAGCAACATCAAGAAACCCACACGTGTCAGGCCGTACATGGCCAGAAGGTGACCTATCTCAGTAGATCTGAACCGAAATTCTAAAATGTATTTTCGACTAGAAAGTAGTGCTTAGGTAGAATCATAAGGCTAGCTATCGGATAGTATAATCAGAAGATACTTCAGTCACAACACGATGTCGACTTCTTTCCGAGGTCTGGAAAAAATTATATTCGGTAAAAACTGACATCTTATGTTGTGTGTTTTTTCCCATTGATTTTCGATGCCCCTATAAACTCAATTACACTTTGTGTAAAACGTTCATCAAAGTATTTTCTAATGTGTTCGTTTGGTAGCAGATCACGTCTTCTTTGCGTTTTATACTAGAAGAAAACGTATCTTTTGGTTCAAAAAACCTTAATCGCCGAATAATTTTGAACTTGGTCTGCTGCTGCAGTTGGATGCAGGGTTTCCAAATCACAAGCTGTAAGGAAAATGCCTTTAAGAAGGTGGCTCAGAAAATCTTGCGGTTCATGTGGACAATGTTGTACACTTTACAAGCATAAGTAATAAATAGACGGATATGATGTTTTATGCATAGATATTTCACGATGTTTAAACATTTCATAAGTAAACACTTCCTAAAAGTGAAAATAATTCTTTCAGTAAATTCTTTAAGTATAAAGATGTAACTTGTTACCAAGTGAGCATATGAAAAGATATTTTGTGAAATATATATGAATGTATAAGCACATCGAAAATCAATGGGAAAAAGCAACAAATACCCTCTCTTCAAAAATAAGATTTGAAGAAAACGCTATTTCCTATCAGATAATCTCAAAAAAGAGTATTTTCGTGCGTTTTTTTAGAAAACATGTTTGAATTTACAAAGACATCGAAAATCGATGAGAAAATGCATAACAATTAAGTAGTCATTTTCTTACAGAGCATAGTTTCTGCAATCGGCCGGGAAGGAACTCATTTAGAAGCCATCATCCTTATCTGACTGAACTATCTTGTGATTATGCAGCGCAACAATTAATCTTACGAGCCCTTCTAGGGTAATATTTTCTAATTGAAGATATATTTCAGAATTCCGGTTAACATTTGATGAGATAATACAAACAATTCTCGTGATCGCACGCCTCTGCGAGGCAAAACACTGTCCTCCTCCTTCTAGGACTTTTGAGGGTGTTATATGTGAAAGATGAATATAGAAAAAAATTGACGGAAGTAGACGAAAAATACAGACTACTTGAGTGACGACTTTCCTCGGGGGAGTGTCTGCCCGAGTGGCTTTGTTAGACAATAACTTGCGGCGCCGTACGAGTTCTTCTGAGTCACATTTTCATGTTGATCTTTATGATAATCTATCCTAGGGTATCGGTCAGTGTTTACATGTATTTCGATACATGTTGGTCTCTGTAGAGTGCCGTCTAATTACAGGGACTTTTTCGTAACTATAA